TTAATGGGAGAGAAGTCATATAGTGTGTGAATTGCATGGAAAGAAGCCTATGAACAAAGGATCTTAGCATGAAGACACAGCCCTTCCTTGGGGGTGTTTCTCAGGAAGTCAGGGACTGAGTCTTGTGTGTATGAAGAATGAAGCACTCAGGGCAGGAGATCCATCCAGGAAGAGGAGGTCCATCCAAGAAGAGGAGAGCTGGTCAAGGGCTGGAGTGTCCAGCATCTCTAGTTCACATGTCTGACCTGTTTTCTCGAAGCAGAGGACTTCTCCAAGTGATTGCCTAACGCTGGCAGAGGCTCCGGGGGAAGTTAAAGATGTGGCAAGCAACAGGCAGGTGTGGTTCCTGCCCACCTCTGTCTCTGATCCATTCTCACTTCCAGATGCCAGCCTGGCTTTCCTTTCTGCATTAATTCCCCCCGGCACAAGCTTGGTACAAGTGGGATCTGGGGTTCTCGCATTTGCATTTTGGGGACCCATAGCATTGGGTAAGCAAGCAGAAGCAGGCAGCCATTACAACCAGAAGCTATAAAGAAACTCCTTTTAGTATCCCTAGATTAACTGGGGTTATTTCTACGGTCTTTCCCCGCCCCCTCTTCCCATCTTGCCAGTGACTTAATTCTATAGACTCAGAATCCTATTCAAGCTGCCTACAGTGAGACCTCACAGTAACCATTAGCTTATGCCATCTGTGGACAGTGAGAGGGCATTTCAATGTCTGACTAGAACTGAAGACCCCCTGGGCTGTCTAGAGCCAAAGGGAGGAGGAGTTGGGGAGGGGGAGGGGAAGGAAGAGGAGGAGAAAGAGGGAGACAGAGGTGGTACAGGGCCTGATGCAGTTCTTTAACCCTAACTGTTCCTTTTGTACAGAACCAGAATGAATGATGGGGGTTGTGTGGGGTAGGGTGGAAGGGGTGTCACGTTTCTCTGAGATCGGCTGAGACACACCTCTACTTTGGGGAGGGACGACTTGGAAGGTGGGTGGAGATCATATGCTGGGAACCCCATATCCAAGGAAGACATGAGCTTAGAACCTAGGAGTCCTATACAACAAGCCCAAGATCCCCAAGTGGCTTCTTTTCCTTTTATACAATCCTCTCACCGAAAGTGAATTCCAAATGCCACCAGTCGATACTTGTTGAATTGTGGTTAAATTAAATGCACTGGTAGGTCGGATTCTCTGCTTTGTTTTTCCTCCAGTGTCATAGCTGTTAAATACTGGCCTGTGGCTTGGCAGCTGGTTTCCCCTGAGAGAGTCCTGGTTCTGCTGGAGAGAATGGTTTCCACTCAGGAATCCCTTCTCTCCTTCCCACAGTCAGAGAATGTGAGATGGGTTCCGGAAGAGAGCTCTCAGCTTTAGTTTCTTTCCAACATCTTTCTGTTGTGAGCCCTCAAGACCTCGCCACCCCCAAGCCTGCCAGATGCCTACACACACACACACACACACCCAAGAATCTGAGGTTGGAACTTGAGTCGACACTATGTTAGACAGCAGCAGTCCTGTGTGTTCCTCCACGGCGCTAGAGTGCCCCTCGCCACTGGGGCGGAGATGGATAAGCGAGCCTCGGGACCACAGAGTTAGTGTAAGAAAAATATCTGGGGCTGTAACTCGCTGATCCTGGAAATAACCGGTTTCCTAAAGAGTCTCCACCGTTTCTAGGGCGATTAAAGGAGAAGTGGACTGAGGTGCCTGCACGTCCAGCTTCGAAACGCAGAGGGGACTGAGGTGCCAGGGACAGCTAGGAGCGCTGACAGTCGCTTGGGGACCTGACCATTCAGTAGATTCTCTGCCTGACGGCAGCGGGTATGTGTGTGTGTGTGTGTGGGGGGGGGGGACTGACCGCATACGAATCTGGGCTGCCTCCCCATCGGGCGATAAAAAGCCTGGAAAAATTTGCTTTCCTTCTCTTTCGGTCCCCATCACCTGTCTTTCTCTAACTTAGGTCTCAGAGTGTGGACCCTGTAGTGGCACTTGGCTTGTCCCTTTTCCTTTAGCTGGTCTCGTTTTCCTTGGACCAGGGCTGTTTCGCAGGTGGCTAGAAAACAAGTTGTCCCCATCATGCTACCACCCGGGCACTCGGGCTCGCAGGGCACACGCCATCGTACTTGGGCATTGGCTTTGAGAACATATCCGTCTCGGGACACACTACCTTTCCACCCCAGACACCACGATATTCATCTTTCATCCACCTGTCACCTCCAAAGGCACAAAAGCAGAGAATTTGCGCGCTGGGACCAACACGCAGGTCTCCGGGATCGGCAGTCTATCCCCAACGCAGATGCATGCAGGTGCCCAAAGTGTGCTTGTCCCTCCGTCCATCTCTCGGTGACACACGCATATGCACATACTCACCCCTCACCTTGCTTTTACCCGAGCACTCGCTTCTCTTGTGTTCTCCAGCACCCAGAAGCTGTCCTTTACTCAGCCGGGTGTCCGGGAGCGCAGCAGGCTTAGCGGGTGCTTGGCGTTTGGCGGTGGCTCCGGGTTCCCAGCTTCCTTGGCTGGCTCCTGCTGGCCCTTCTGGCGTCTGAGAGTGCTTGCGTGGGCCCCGTGAGAGCTAGCCTGGCCTGTAAATCATCGACGCCCAGCCGCGGAGTGGTGCTCCAGGCGCCGGTGGCCTCGCGAGCGCGCCGGTGGCTGCGCCGCTAGCATTGGCCCGGGCGGGTGGCAGCCCCTGGGCACACTTCCCCACGCCCCCGCTCGTGACGTCACGGCAGCTTGGCTCCGCCTGCCCGGGTCCTGTAGGACCCGGTGAGCTGAGTCGAGAAACCTGCGGATGGCCGAGGGCGTCCAGTGAGGATAAGCCAGAGGATCTGGATGCTGATAGATGATGAAGCGATGTCAGTGTCCCCACGACTCCTCCCGATGAGTACGCGCGTGGCTTTCCCTCCGATTTCAGAGACTCGGTCCGGTTTTACCCAACAAATTCCAGGCAGCTGGTGCGGCGACAGGGGTGACCTAGACTAGCTCCGGGACCTTTAAGTTTGCAAAGCCGTGCCTACCACGAACCAGTCCCGGGAACAGGGCACAGGTTGCAGAGCCAGACTAAGGGCAGAGAGAAAAGGGGTGAAAACAGCAAGCCGGGTCTCCGTGCAGGCGCCTGCAGGTGTGTGTGCCACACCTGGCTTCAGTTCCCGCAGCCCGCGGACTCCAAGGGCTCTATGAGTCTCCCAACTAGAGGCCCCAGAGCCATGCCGGCTCTCCTAGCTTTAATTTAGTCTGTCAGTCACTGCTTGCTGGTCTGACCCAGCCCCAGCCCAACCGTTCCGCCTACGCGCGCTGTGGCGCTCTGCGGGAGCAAAGAGGGACTCACAAGAAGTGGGAGATGTGTCGCATCAAGTTGCAGCTATTTAATTTTTGACCGTGATGATTCAGTCGGTGTTCCAATAGTTTAATAAGTCATAATCAATCCTGTAACCTCCCTTCTCTCACCTGTCAACACACTGTGTGCGTGCTCACACACACACACACACACACACACACACAGAGACAGAGAGAGAGAGAGAGAGACAGAGAGAGAGACAGAGAGAGAGACAGAGAGAGACAGAGAGAGAGAGACAGAGAGAGACACAGTCAGAAAGACAGAGAGAGAGAGAGACAGACAGACACAGAGACAGAGAGAGAAAGACAGAGATAACGAGACAGAGAGAGAGAGAGAGAGAGAGAGAGAGAGAGAGAATATGCCTGGGTGGTTTCTAGAACACGGAAAATCAGAAAGCAAACCCTGATTAGCTTTCTCTGTGGGTCCTGATGCGACCATTTGCGTGTTCATCTGGGAAAAGCATAAATCCAGAAGTTGTGTGTGTGCTAAGTTTTGATTGGGAAAGGGAGCCAGCAGGTAAAAGCAGCCCAGAATTGCTTGTAAGTCAAGATGTCGCTCATGGGCGTCTACTGGCACCATCTCTCTGAGGTGTGTGGACTCTGTGGGTTTGATGTAGGCTGAGGTAGGGGTTGTCAGGTCCTAGTGATGTCGTGGGCCAGCTTGTCTTTAGTTTTTTATGGGCAGGGTCGAGAGGCTGAGTAGTACAGCTCTCAGGATGAGGGGAGTGGCCCTGAGGGAAAGAAGGGACCAGGGAACGAGCTCAGGCCTCCTACCTGAGACACAGTTGTTACAATGCATATTGCCCCCTTTAGTTAAAAACCAATGGCCCCTTCCAGGAACAGAGAAGAATGAAGAACCAGGAAGTGTCCATTCTGAGTTCAGAGCTCCTCAGGAATCATGTGACCTTGTAAAAAGTTCTTCTACTGTTGCTGCTCAGTTTGTGTATTGTTTAGAAAAATAGCTCATGCAAAACAAGGAACCCCTGATTCTCAGTTTCCTTCTCTTATACACAAGGTGACCCCCAGGGGGCAGTGTAGAGTTTTTTTGGTTTCTGTACTTCTGGTTCCACCACCAGCAAAAAAAAAAAAAAAAAAAAAAAAAAGAGAGGGGCGCCCCTATCAGCTAAATAATCCTTCCCAAAACAACGTGGGGATCATTTCTGTATGCTCTTAACGTGCTGAGCACACACAATAAAATCCACCCTTCATGCACTTGGGAAGCCTTTCCCCAGCTCTCTCAGGGTCAGGTCTGGCAGGCTCAGCCCCGATGGTTAGATGAAACCCCGGCATGCCTAACTCTTTTGCAGCTGGCCCCATGAGATCTGAACATTTTGACCTTGACAGCAGAAAATGTCATCTAGAACAATTATTGATTTTGTCCGGTTCATGCGTGCCTCTCTCCCCTTCCCCTACCTGTGAATGCCTCCATAGAGCCCTGACATCACCTTTGGCTTCGCTGCACCGCCCCTCCAGCCTCCAGGTTTGAGTTCCCATTCTGTTTGACAATACCCCGCTCTTTTGGCTCTCTGCCAGCCAGCTGCCAGACGCGTGTCCTTCCTCTGCAGCTCCTTTAGTAACTAAGTAACGAGACCTTGAACCAGAAAAATACAGGGTTGCAAAAGAGATAACCTCCTCACTGCCTTACTTGGTGTCTTTTTTTTTTAAAGATTTATTTATTTATTTTTATGTATACTAGTACACTGTAGCTGTCTTTAGACACACCAGAAGAGGGCATCTGATCCCATTACAGATGGTTGTGAGCCATCATGTGGTTGCTGGGAATTGAACTCAGGACCTCTGGAAGAGCTCCTAACCACTGAGCCATCTCTCCAGCCCCTTACCTGCTATCTTAGAGCCAATGAAATGACACACCTCTTTGTTTTTGCACTTATCAGAGGGACGCTAGGTGCCAGGAAATGAAGAACGGTAATGACCTGGGAGTTCAGCAGACAACAGACCAGGAACTCTCAAGTAGGTCATTCTGTCTGGTCGCTTAGAGGCCTTATCAACTAAATGGGGAGCAATTGTTCCTCTGTCATCCATTTGCCGGAAGTAAATGTTGCAGTTTAGCTTAGAGGAAAGCTCTAAGTAAGAGAACTGGGTTGGTGGTGTTAGAAGGCAGACCAGGCATCTGGCATGGCGTCTGTCTGTACGTGTGACACCTCTGTGGATGGAGAAAGAGCAAGGCCCCTAAGCTGCAGCATGTCAAATGTGGGGTGCTTTGGAACTCACTGTGTAGTTCAGGCTGGCCTCAAACTTGTGGCGATCCCCCTACCTCTGCCTCTAGAGTGCTGGGGTTGTAGGTATGTGGCAGCATGCCTGGCCTTGATGTTTTGCTTGAGAAATATGGTGTGTGATTACCACGATTCTTTAAAGATATGCCCATTTGGCCTAGAGGGCTTGAAGTCTCTTTAGATGCACTGGGGGTGAAGGCAGCCCTTTTCTTCCCCTCTCTCTCTGCTTATGGAACCTCCTTGGAAACTGTTTCTAAGTCTGGAGTCAGTGAGCCCTTCCCTCATTCTTCTTTTTATTCCCTTCTCCACCTTGTTGGAAGTGCGCAAAGAATGCTGGTCCTAAGAGGGGCCTCAGAGTCTCTGATGTGTAGAACTAAAGCCCCATCATTGTATAAGTGAGGAAACCAGACTCAGAGAGGCCAGGTGACTTGCCCAAGACCATTCATCTAGGGAATAAAAAAAAGGAGTTGAGTTGGCTGACAGCACCAGGCTTCTTCCGTAGGTCACAGCCTGCACGGCCATGGAACCCTGGATGAGGGAAGGGAGTCCTTCCTCCTACTGGTCCCAGCGTCTGTCTTCCCCTAGTATGCCATGCCTATAACATAACAAGGTCCCTCAGCACACATCCTGGAGCAAGTCCTGGGTGAGAGTTGGGGAAGCTATAGCTGCCTCCAAGGAGACTTCCAGGGTGCGTACTGGAGTGCTCACCTGTCACAAGCCCTTCAGGAGGAGAGCGTGGACAGCTCAGGGGAGGTGACCTCATCACACCTGCCTTGCAGGTACAGGGTGCCTCTTGAGAACAGTTCCATGAGGTGCCATTCATTCCTGGCCCATTGTCTTCTTGCATGGGGCACATGGCTATGAGCCCAGTAACCCTTAGATACTCCTGGTACCGGCCACTGGCACCATTAATTTGGTCATTTGAAGACATCTTGAGGTAAAAAGCTGGTTGGCCTTTATCGACCCTGGCATTTCACACTTGATTTAGCTCTGAAAACCTTCCTATGAATCTATTTGAACAAGTATTGAGTGCTTACCGTGTGCTGGACTGGGTGCTTTGTGTTAATTCTCTGCATCCTCACTGCGGTCTTACAAAGCCGGATCAGTATTTCCTTTTCTGAATGGACCAACCAAGGCACAGAGAGACTGAGTTCTTCAGGGTTGCAAACCTGCCTGCTCTGTGAGTACCCACGGTGTAGTTACCCAGAGCAACAGAGGTTGGCAGATCCATCCTCTGTAACTTGATTATATAGAAGAGGGACCATTCCACTAACGGGTAGCATATCTCTCTCTTTCTCTCTCTCTCTCTCTCTTTCTCTCTCTCTCTCTCCCTCTCTCTCTCCCTCTCTCTCTCTCTTCCATCCCTTTCTCTCTCCCTCCTTCTCTCTCTCTCCCTCCCCCCTCTCTTCCTTCCCCCCTCTCTCTCTCCCTCCCTCCTTTTCTCTCTCTATCTCCTTCTCTTTCTCTCTCTCCCTCCCCCCCCCCCCCCCCGTAGTAATCATAACTGGGGACTCACCAAGTATGCTTGCCTGGCTGACGAGCACAGGAAACCCACCCGTCTCCCCTTCCCTAGCATGAGCATTTCAGGGATGCACCCCCATACTTGGATTTCCCCCCTTAAATGTGGGTTCTAGGGATCAAACTCAGATACACAAACACAGCAAACCCATAACGGACTGAGCCATCCCCAGCATGGTTTTAACTATGGTTGTCCTTAGCTTCCATCTTTGTAGAAGGGTTCTGACTAGTTCCCAAATACTCTGGGGTTCTGACAGCTATCTGGTCCTCCCCTGACCCGATTTCCTGCTCAGAACTGTCTGGTTATCACCTGCAGTGTAGGTGGGTAATCTGCTGCTCTTCGGGCAGAGGGGAGAAAGGACAGCTGCGTATAGGGTGGGACTTCTTCCAGCCTGTGCAAGGGCAGCTAGGCCTTTTATAAAGAGG